TTAATATATGTGATCTATTTTTATTATTTTTAGAGCAAAGAAAACTTTTAAATACAAAAAATAAGATTTTTAATTATTGTAATATATATTCTATCATGTAAAAGTATTTGTAAAATCTTCTGAAAAATTCTTCCTAAATAATAAATTATTGTTACACAGAAGCTAAAAGATATATATCAATGTTTTTAATATCATCAATAGAATTTATAATGAATGTGTTATTTTTACGTTTAAGAAAAATTATTTCTAAAAATTATTTTAAAAATAATGAATAAAAAAATATATAATAATTTTATTTCTTATTTTGTTAAGATTGCTCAGAAAATAAAATAAAATAAAAATAATGATCTCTCACGAACACAGTACCAACATAAATTGACGTAGGTATACGACGGCTTTTTTTTCAAGCACAATCCTTAATGTACTTTCAGCTGTTTGAAAAAAGTAAAAGAAATGTCTCGCAGACGCATAATTAAAGATTCGACGCGAGTCTGAAAATATCGCTTACCTAAAAGAAGAAAAAAGGAAAACGTCGAAATTTTTCGGCTATGGACTTTAAGGGCCTACTACAGAAAAGAAGAAGTGCGTCGCGCGACGACAACTCGTTTTAATTAAATGCCTGTAATTACGTTTCCCGCTAATTGCCGCGCACTGCCTTCAGGAGTGTTATACCGCTCGGTCAAAAGAAAATTGGGATCTTGCCAAACTTTTCATCTGGTTTACCTCTTTTTTTCTTTTATGTTTAGAATAGTTTGTATCAGGTTTCTTGTACAGATTTTCAATGCGTGTTTTTATAATTAATTAACAAATTGTCATGCAAATTCACGCGGCTTTTCTATACATTTTAGCTTACTGCTGAATGAAAAACGTCGCCAGTATGTCTCATATTTCGCGCCTTACATAAAACAAATTCTTTTAAATAACTGAACTTGTACATGTACAAAATAAAAAAAATTATAACCAAATTATGCAATATATTTTCAATGATCGCGTTAGAATGGCTGTTAAATATCTCTCTCTCTCTCTCTCTCTCTCTCTCTCTCTTTCTCTCAACTTTCAAGAGACGAAATACATAAGATTACATGGAGTGTTATCTACCGTTCTGGAGTCTCCATTCTGGAGACAACACTAACTTGAATTCCGTTTAACACTCTAGATGATACTATTCTGCTTCGCTTCCTTTCCTCATCGATCTATTACGCGTTCTATGGCGTACAATTACCAGCAGAAACGGACTGGTTTGCCTTACTACGTGCATGAATTTACTCTTGCATTAATTGTCGGAAATAATATCGTTCGCGTTATAACAACTAAATCACGAGAACTGCTTCCACCATTTGTCGATCATTAAAGTGCTCAGAGCTAACTCTCAATCAATAATGCGTCGAAATAGCTATCTTAACATCTCTCAAGCACTTATTTATATGACACGAAATACAAATTATTAAGTTATTTAAATACGATACATGACAAGAGAAAATTGATTCCTGATGCAGATTTTATTTCGAAATTATATTGAAAGAATTTGAGATAAAATGCAAGACGATACGACATTCACGTATTTATCGAAAGAATAAAGATTATCATTAAATCATGAACATACTTAAAATATGTTTTATGTCAAGTTTCATAGCTAATTTATTAATCTTGTAAGGTTTAGTAGGGTCACGCACGAAAAATGAAGCCAATAAATATCCATTCAGAATATTAAATGATCCATAGCAATAAGTCTTAATAAATCGAAACAACTTTTACCTCGTGCCATGGAGATATAGGCGACATTGCGTGACTGCTCAGAGCAAATTAAATGTTAATTCATGGATTCTAGAATTCGTGAGACAACAGGAAACTAAAATTAAAAAAAAATTCAACTTGTTAGATCAATTTTGTATACTTATATACAAGTTTGATTTATTTTTTACTTACACGCCAAAAAGAGTAGCATTTTATTAAACATTATCTTCAAATTCTTGAAGATGTTTTAGTGTGCCACAAAATTATAATTGATACGACACAATTCTTGAGAGATAGAAAAGGAAGGGGATTAGGCATGCCAAACTCGTTCCGAAGAAGCAGTCGAAAGTGCAAGCAGATATTCATGTATGATCGACCTCCGAAATGCGGAAGTTCACGAATTCCGCATAATTTGTGAAAGTAATTCGCACAATTTGCACACAGTATCCATCGATAATCACATAGTTTCGTACTCTATGGCAGAACCGACCGCATTACTCCGCATATTTGGTCATATAATAGCAGCCTTTATTGGAAGCAACCTCGAACACATAATTAATATGATTAGATAAATCATTTTCGTTTTGTATCATTAGTGATATAAGTATACATATATCTTATGTAATAACATATATGATAATATGTGTTTTATTTTTGTTGTTGTGTTTAGTGCGAGAATTATTTCGCCTTTTCTTACGAACACACAAAATAGTACACTATTGTTCATCTGCTGGGTACATTATTTTGCACAATAAACATTATTATGATTATTCTTATTATTTTTATTGCATAATAAGTTTAAATATAATTTTAATTTTAAACATTATATGACAAGAGATGTATAATAAGATAAATTTATATATCCGATTATAGTATTTTAGAGATCACTAATTAAATAAAAACTGTAAACATTTATTAATCAGATATGGATATTTACCAGTTTTTATTTAATTAATAGATTGCATACATAATCTGCAAATATTGTAGTATTATCTTATAAAAATATTTTTGTAAACTACATTTAAACGACAACTATTTATGGGGTCACTGAGTTTTGTAATGATAAAAGCGTGTAGAAATTTAGAAATAAAATTTCGTTTCTTGGTATATGTTTTATCATGTATAACAGTGGGGCGCGGAAAGTTATTTAATTCTGCGATAACAAGCGGAAATGTTCATAGAAAGCGTTGGTTCTAAAAAAGGAAAATGTGAACCCGAGAGTATTTTAATATAATTTATGGAAGATAAAATCGCAAACGTGCTAAATAAAGTTTTTTAATGTTACAGAAGTCATCTTTTGAAGAGAAATATGTTCAAAAATTTCTAGAAATGTATGTGAATCTATTTGGAATTTAGCGAATAAGATAAGCGTTTCCTTTATGAAAAAAGTACTTGTGGCCGTTTTGACGTCTAATTTCAAAAATTACAAGCATAGTAGTATGTTTTGAGATCTTTTAAGATAGAAAAAAAATTATTCACCCGGAAACAAGGTCTGGAAAAATCTGTTTATAATGTTATTTTTGCATAGATGCTTAAATATCCGTTTAACAATTTATCACAGTCGTCTCTGTATTTAGTGCCAAAAAATGCAAGTATGGTTGTATACTTTCAGACTATTCATGACAGAAAAAAATTTATTTGTTAATAAACAAAGCCCGGAAGAGTTCCGTTCGACAAGATATTTACATATATACGCACATATATTTGTACAGAGACACATTGTGACCGTTTCGACGTCTAATTTCAAAAATTACAAGTATATCGGTGTGTCTTGGGACCTCTTCCTATAGAAAAAAATTATTCATCTGGAAACAAGTTCCGGAAAAATCATTTTATCATGATATTTTTGTATAAACGCTTAAATACTTGTTTAACAATTTATTACGGTCGACCCTGTGTTTGGTGCCAAAAGATACGAGTGGGATTGCATACACTTACATTATTTCCGACAGAAAAAAATTTATTTGTTAATAAACAGAGCCCGGAATAGTTCCGTTCAACAAGATATTTACATATATACGCACATAGATTTGTACAGAGACACATTGTGACCGTTTCGACGTCTAATTTCAAAAATTACAAGTATATCGGTGTGTCTTGGGACCTCTTACTATAGAAAAAAATTATTCATCTAGAAACAAGTTCCGGAAAAATCTGTTTGTTATTTTTGCATAGGCGCCTAAATACCTGTTTAACAATTTATCACAGTCGTTCCTGTATTTGATACCAAAAAATGCGAATATGATTGCATACTTTTAGACTATTTATGACAGAAAAAAATTTATTTGTTAATAAACAAAGCCCGGAAGAGTTCCGCTTAAGTAGATATTTACATATACGCGCATATATATCCGTACAAAAACTCATTGTGGCCGTTTTGACATCTAATTCTAAAAATGACAAGCATAGTGGTATGTCTTGGGACCTCTTTCTATAGAAAAAAAATTAATCATCCGGAAACAAGTTCCGGAAAAATCATTTTATCATTTTTGTACAAACGCTAAATACTCGATTTGTCGGTATTACGGTTTGTCGGGATTTCATAATGGAAATAATTAAAATGTTTTCCTTTCTCATAGAGGAAGCTTTGCAATGTTCCTTTACGCGTGTAGCTAATTGTCTTTTTGTTTGACCAGTGTATGTTGCATCACAATCCATACATTCGATCAAATAAATGACGTCAGTTTTTTGCATGTGGTTAATACTATCTTTATCTCTCTTAATTAATCTATTTTATTTTTTTGGGATAGTACGTATAAACAATATCGAGGCTACAATTTTTGAACGCAAAGCATAGATTTTTGCTTAAGTTTTTTACATATGATAACGGTAACACTGATTTCGTATCGAACTTTTTACACAATTTGTCAGTAACCATCGTGGAATCGTTACGATGTTTCAGAGTTTTCATTCTCTTGTCAATATGTAGTTCAGTGAAAGATCTCGGAAAGCAATTGTTAACCAAGATATCAGTAATAATTCTAATATATAATCATGATTTTAATTGGATGGAACCTAAGATTTTACATTATAAGAAACATAGAAAGAAAAGAGAATTAGCTAAGTTGTTTTTTATTAAAAAATATAACAATAATATTAATTTGTAAAAGGTCACAGAGAATTAAATCCGATCTATGATAAGTTAATCCACAGTATATAATTGTTTATTTATTTCGTTGTATTTTTGAGTTTTTACATAATCTTGTTTTGTAAATTTGACTTCTGATATTTTAAAATAATTTACTTGTCTCCGTTTTAACATTAGTAATAGCACTGCTTTCGAATCAACATCTTGAAAAGTAAGTTTTATTTCTGAATTTCTTTATCTATATACATATATATATATATATATATAATCATATATATTTATATATGAGCATATTTCATATATATATACACACACACATATATATATATATATTTATATATGCTTATATATGAACTATTTTTTTGCGGGAAGTTATCACAAAATAAATATTTAAATGTACAAAACGTCATAAAATTTTACATAACTGATAAACGATGATCTACGAAAGATAATTTCAAATACATTTGTAGCGAACATTCCTTCCTCTCAATGTTAGTTAACAAATCAACGACGAATCAGCGCGACAAGCATATATTTTCATAAAACTTATCACGTCATTTACTAGTATCATTTACTTAATACTTTATACTATACTATAAATAACTTTGCAGTGCGCCACGATTTTCTGAAAGCAAGATGGATAACGTACTGAATAAGACGGTAATGATCACCGGAGGAGCTGCCGAATTAGGCTACAAATACGCAGAAATATTTCTTTATAATGGTGCCACAAGTGTTGCGATAATCGATTTGCCGACATCGAATGGCGAAAATGCAGCGGCTATGTTGGAGAAGGAATTTGGAAAGGGCCGTGCTGTTTTCATCGCGTGTGACGTGGCAAAGGTAGAAGATTTAGTAAAGGCATTCAATAGGGTCATCGATGAATTCGACACTCTTGATATTCTAATCAACAATGCTGGTATTTTAAATGAGCACAATTGGCATCAGATGATCGATATCAATATTACGGCGCTAATTCGCAGCTCGTATCTGGCCCTGGATCACATGGACAGACACAACGGCGGAAAGGGGGGTTTAATCGTGAACATCTCATCTATATTTGGATTAGTCACTTATCCTCCATCACCAGTATATGTGGCTTCGAAATACGCCGTTCTTGGATTCAGCCAATCTTTGGCCGGTCTATACGACAAGACTGGTGTGCGAGTTCTTATAATGTGTCCAGGTGTTACGAAGACGGCAATAATCGACGACGCTAGAAAAATATTGCTCCCCTTCGTCGATGCAGAATACATCAGTAAATTTGACGGTCTATTTGGCCCGGTTCAATCAACCGATTACGTGGGTCGCGCGATGCTATTTCTCATCCAAAAAGGTGAAAACGGAGCGGTTTGGGTCAGTGAGAATGAATAGTCACCATATGCCGTGGACTTTCCTCATTATTCGAAACGATCTTTACCTGTAGAAAGTTAAACATTTGATAACTTGCCTTATTTTGATGAATTTGCACGGTAATAGTTTATTCATAGCTATCAATAAATATACGAGTATAACATTAATGTATTAAATATAAAATATTATTGTATTAATTATGCGTATGTAAAATTAGAAATATAAATCATCTAATATAATATTAAATTATAACACCTTTATTTCCAAGAGTTCTAAGAATTACTTATATAAAATCATACATTTATTTATCGGCAATATTTTATTGGTTCAAGTCACGTAAGTTGCAAAGTTCAAAAAAGCTTTATTTTAACATACATTTGAAGCCAACAGGCTATATAAGAGCAAATGTTTGTGCGCTAGTCTTATAAAAATATAGGGATATGTAAGTTTAGATTAATAAGTTTTTTGCTCTTAAAATTTTAATTTATTTCAATCTTAAATTTTATTAAAACATTGTGTTTGTAAATATTATCTTTAATAAAATTGCAATTATATTGCTACATAGATAATATAATCGGCCGAAAATAATTATCAATTGATTAATCTTTTTCTGAAAACATAATAATAGATCATAATTAATGACTAACAAATCTTTCTTTTATAAATTATTGTTTGAGAAATTACTAATAGAATTTAAAAATATTATTAATGCAGGATTTAATTATGTGTGTCTGCTTAAAATGTGGTGGAAATTTTTAATTGCAGTACCTTTTGTACTTTAAGTTAGACTTTCAGAAGATTTTTAATAAAATGCTCTAATAAAAATACAACTGACAAGAAGATAATTAAAAAAAAGAAGGTCGTATATAACAGATATCACCAACTTTTGTACATTCTGCAGTATTACGGGTTTTTAGAACGTAAAAAAAAATTTGATCAAATATATTTCGCAAAATCGCAATACTTCTCATTTAACCAATCTTTTAGGTTTTCATCAGTTTGACAAACTCCAGAACGCATTTTAACTCTGGTTTCCCAGGAGATTATTGCGCAGTAGTGAAACGTTAAAAGGGTCTCACAAATGTTCTTGTTCAGCGTGCGAAATGTTAGATATTTCTTATGTCAACATACTTAAAATGCAAATGGCTAACGGTAATTTCTGAAAACGCTGTTTGTAAACATTGTACAACAGTTTCTTTGATAAATTGGCAGCGATATTATCAAATTGATATATTTGTCATTTTCATAATAAAATATCACATCTTTTAAATACAAAAAAACATTTATCGGAAACATTAAAAAGAGTTAAAAATTTATTTAGTGTGCGTTTCGTTATAGATAAAGTAATTGAGATTACTAATAAATCTTTTATAAAATTAATTTTAAAATTTTTAGATTGCTACGAAAATTGAACAGCATTACTCAATATTATTCAAATTTTTCAGCTAAATATTTCTCTAAAAGATTTTATTTTATTTATTAAAAGATTTTATATTTTTTATAAAAGCCATAAAGATAAAGTGATCAATCCAAGACAATATGAGTAAAGCAATTTGTGGATATTAGCTGAGATTGTTGATGTCAGAATTAATAGCTGAAAAAGTAACGTGCTCTATTCAATAAACGAGATAAAGCAGATATAATAAAACTAAAATGCCTTGTGCGATGTCCAAGAAGCCGGACACCTTTAACGGGTTTTGAAAGACATTTAATCGATTTAGAGACTGGTCCTTTCGTTAACTCATTCTTTCCAATTTCCGCTAACCCTCCATTTCTCTCTTTCTCTTTCTTTGTACTTTGAAGGAGTCTCGTTTCTCTCTGCGCATCGTTCAGTAAATCCTTCAAAGGGGACCGTCGCATGCTGGCGCATAAAGGCGCACCGGCACGAGCTTGTTTCCGGTGGTGTGCAATCTTAAAAAGATACGTCCGAAGATACGTTGCGAGAATTGCTCGGGAGGAAACTCGAGTTCAGAAGCTTGGTTATATGTATATAAGATAATAGTCGCACGTGGGGTCTTGGGTAGGACGAGGTGGCCTTTTCTCAGCGACACCCAAGGGACAGATATATTATTACTAAAGGGTAGGAAATTTAGGAGCCGCGAGCCCTCGATGAAGTGCAAGGGACCGTGCGGCGAGGAGAAAGGGCCCCCGGAAAAGGGACGGATGATACGCATATATACTTGTGATAGAGAGAGAGAGAAAGCCGCGGGACAGCGGTGGAGGGTTTTGCATTAGTAGAGTGCGGTAGCCACATTGCTCCTTTGAGACTAAGGCGGTTCGCGGTTCGTGGTTAATGCGTTTGTTCCAGAGAATCGATAGAGAACGTAAAACCGACGACGCGCCACGGAATTACGTCATTCGCAGTATGTACAGATCTTTTAAAGTCTTTATTACGATGCTAGCTGCTAAACTCTTTTTTTCTTCGAAATATGTTGTCTCGATAAAGCCTCGCCCATAGCTGGAAAGATCACACCTTTCAAAAGTGAATGGAATTAGGAGACTTATTTTATTTAACAGTTAAGTGTGATATACTGGCACTTTTCATTGCATCAGACATTATTTGGAGGAAGACAACTCGTTCGCATGCGAAGTTAATAAAAATTCTTTTAATTTTTCATTCTTTTTTTATCATTATATATTCCGTTCTATCATTTATTATGATGTAATTTTAAGTTTCTTTTTTCAAAACAAACGTTATGTGAGATCGGTGATGTATTTTGAATTAAAAACTCGCACTTTCTATTTACATTTGTTTAAACTTGCATTGCTAATTCTGATCATAAAAGAGCTCCTTTCAAACTATCTTATAATTTTTTTTTTTTGTGACATGTTCTCTTTGATCTAACTTCTCCGTTTATTTACTTCTTTTATTAAACTTTTTTATATACATATAATATAAACATTTTAATTGAAATCTTAATTTAAAATGTAACTGGTTTAATGATTTATTAATTTTTGCATCCAACTATGTTGCAATTTGTCATACGATTTTTATTGTAGTAATAAATGAATTTATTAAAATGTTAGTTCGGTTCCCCAGTACTAGACAAAGCCTTCAAACCTAGTTATTTTGTAAAATATGATTATAGATTAATAAAATGAAATAATCCGAAATGACTATGAGAATAAATGTACCACACGAATATCAATTGTAAATTATCATTATTACAGTAGTATTGTTTAATACAAGCGTAATAAAAATAAAGAGAAATTGACTTTGTGAAGTATGTCAAATGAAACATTTTTATATATAAATATCGAGCAATTCGTTGTGTGCTGAGCGTATTATATTGAAGATATCGATCTGGGAATGTCGTCTCTCTTTTCCCTAGGGCCACATTTTGAAATGCGTTTCATCAGTTTCGCTGTTCTATGATTTAGTGCTGTGGTCTTCCCGGAACTGCTCGTAACGGAATAAAAGAAAATGTAGAGTGCAAATAAAAGCTACAATAGCGAAGAGATGATATGTGAATATTCAGATGTCTCTTGCGAGATATTCTTTGCGAGTTTTGCCATTCAAAGTAATGTTATACGTTATACAAAGATATGTATATCCGCTTTGTTGCAATGTCAATGCGCGAGAAATTTAATCTAGGCGTCGTTGTAACCAGACATGTCAAACATGAAAGACATGCACTATTTTTTCTTGATGTTTTCTTAGTCATTATACTAATTGTTGTTTTGTGTGCAATTTTTACATTCTTTTGTATTCTACTGCAATTATATTATAACATAGAGGAGAATATCGTTTGTTTTTAAAATAGTATAATTATATAATTATAATTATAAATAATGTTTTCTCTTATATATTTTTTGTAGTTGCAAATTAATTTTAAAATAGTTTACTAAACAATATAATTCTAAATTTTGATAAATTGATAACTGATAAAAATACATCGAATTCTTGCTATATGACTTATTATCGAACATGCAGGATTCTTCCTAAAGATTTAACATCTACTTTTCGAAGCCTTTTACAACCGTAGAGGGTTTCGAAACTCACATAAACTTACAAACCCTTCTACATTACTCCCTAGGGCAATTCTAATTTTTACAACGTCAGATTTTTATGACCTACGGGTTGCCCAAGATCGCAGTTTCGCACGTACGAACAATTTCGATGGTTTTTCACACAGTTCAAGGTAAACAGCATTGAGTATCGAATCTTTACAACAGTTTTTCAACTTGTTGTACACGTTCAATATTGTAATAATCCGGTGAATTTATATATGAAGCACATTTATTTTTAAATAAATTTGCTATTATACCTTTTTTCATTTCCATTTTCCATGAGAAAGTTATAATGACACTCTGTTCGTTTAGATAAAAATAAGTGAAAAAAGTTTTAAAACAAGTTTGGAGAAGCTTTTAGCTTTCGATCAAATAAAGGATTATTTTTAAAACTTCACATAAATTTCATTTGCATGTCTAATTACGTTTAATATGTCATTTATTTCATAAACCTTTGTACAAGCTTCGCTACACTTATTTTTTAAAACTCTTTTTTCATAAACTTTTTTTATAAACAAATGTCATTATAACTTTTTTTATTGAAAAATGGAAATGGGGAAAAGATAGAATAGCGAATTTATTTGTAAAAATAAATGTGCTCCTTATAAATTTGTCGGACTACCACAGTATCGAACGTGCGCAGCAAGTCGAAAAACTACTGTAAAGATTATCCGCACAGGGAGGTCACGATGTAAAGAATGAGAATAAAAAAAAAAGACAAATTGCAGAATAAAGTTTTATTTTTCTGCGAAATACGTGTGTGGCTGTTATGAAGGGTTGACCTAAAATAAAGTATTCGATATTGATTCATATGTTATAATATACGTCAATGTTATAAATTTAAGCAATGAGATAAATTGTGTCTACAGAAACAATAAAAATAGACATAATCTTGAATTTGCTTTTTGAATAAAATTTACGAACAGCTTTTGCAGACAAGTCAGATAGTTTGCAGTATAAATATTTAGTTAATTATATATAAAGTAATGTCAAGTTTGTAAAATATTTTAATATAATAAGACATGAAATTACAATTGCTATTTTAAGATTGAACAAGAACATTTCATTATATTGTGAGCTTTTGATTGAATTTTATTAAAATGTCTAAAAAGAATTATCCCGGATAAATTATAGAAATGTCCTTCGTCAAAAAATTGCGC